AAAAATGTTTGTTAAGTTGAAAGTATTACCAAAGTCAAAAGTGTTACCGAAAGTCAAAAGTGTTACCGAAAGTCAAAAGTGTTACTGAAAGTCAAAAGTGTTACCGAAAGTTAAAAGTGTTACCAAAAGCCAAAAGTGTTACCAAAAGCCAAAAGTGTTACCGAAAGTCAAAAGTGTTACCGAAAGTCAAAAGTGTTACCGAAAGTCGAAAGTTCTACTGAAGGAAAAAGTGTTACGTATGTACTAACTAAATTCAAAATTTGCCAGTAATCTCGTAACGGTAACAAGTAATCACCACCAGATTTATAATAATTTAGAAAACGGTTGTAATCAATTAAATCGATATCTTATCAAGAATCTATTAATACTTTGGATTTTAATACGTAATATTTTAATACGTAATATTTTAACTTTTTTGTAGTATTTTTGACCTTTGGTAACACATTCAACTTTATAAGATTTCGATTTTCGTTAAGACTTTTGACTTTCAGAAAGCACACAGCAATTACAACTTTATTACCTAAAATTAAGCTGGACTTGGAAACTCGGGGGTATTAATGTCTTCAAATGGCGATGTAGAATATTATCTTCAAAAATAGGTATACTGGCATGTATATCAAAAAACTGACAACATAAACATATTGAAGATATTGATACTGTATACTATTCTATATTCGGACAAGATCTTATCTATGCGATGCTGAAGCAGTTGTACAAAGTAAAAGTTAAGATTCATAAATGGAAAGAAGGATATCTTTTTTTAGACTAGTGTCAGAACTATCTTTTATTAGAAATACAGTCTTAATTAAACCTGAATTCTGAAGAAAATAAAATAATAAGATCTTTATATGTAATAGCTATAATATAATAGATAATGAAATAAAGATAATGAATCATATAATAAATAATGAAATAAAAGATAATTAATAATATAATAAAGAATGAATAATATAGCTAGGTAAGTACCTAGCATTGTGTGTCCGATGCTAAGTAAGCACAATCAATAAAGTACAGTATGACTAATTATATATCACGTGGTGTGGCCGGACAATTATTTTCACCTTACATAAAATATAATGTCCTCCACTTCGCTCCAGACAATAAAATAATGAATAACATAATGTTCTTCTTTGTTTATTTTCAGGCTTAATCTCTTTTTTAATTTACAATGGCTTTACAAAGCAAAGCCATTGTAAATATCACCCGTATCGCTGAAAACTGGTGGTGACTCATATGAATAGCTTGACCCAAGAACAAGTAGATTAGATAGCGTTGTAAAGGGATCCTCTACAACAGTTTGCGAAGTGTCATCTGGTTCCGCATTTTGGAATACACCGGTGCTTGAAGTGTCATCTTCAGGTTCCGCATATGAAGCCTCATCTTCCGATTCCGCATATGAAGCCTCATCTTCCGATTCCGCATATGAAGTCTCATCTTCCGATTCCGCATTTGAAGTCTCATCTTCCAATTCTGCATTTGTCAATTCTGCATTTGAAGTCTCATCCAATTCTGTACTTTGGAATGCATCGGTTTCTAGAGCATCGTACGATGCTGCATTTTGGAAGATTTGCCTGTCGAGTGTGTTATCCGATTCTACTAGGTTCAGAATATTTCTTTGACTGTCGTCAGTATTTTGATAAGGTTCCGCACGAACATTTGAGCTAGTGCTACTCTTATCAGGTGCATCGATTTTACGTTCAAGTTGGATGTTCATTTTTGTTAATTTTTTGAAAAAGGTTATTTCTTGCCAAACTGTTTTGAGACAAAATGTGTACTCAACATTCTTTAGTAGATTATACAGTCAATTTATATGAATTGAAGCTATGGGAACACATAGTGTTGGATCTCTTGGGTGTAGGTGACACCTCTCTAGATCATAAATTATCCAATCTAATCTATCAAAAACATAACCAAATTCGTAAAAACAATAAATTTCAAATCTTTCAAACGCATCTAATAATATTTGTAAATTTTTTTGTTTAAAAATAAACATATATGACAAATCATATTTTTTTAGGTTACCTTTTTGATGGGTGGATACTGTTTTATGGCATTGTTATGCTCTGGAACTACATGGGGTCTTTGCCTTGAAAATCACCTTACGACATTTTCCGATCGGGCTAATTCGGACAAACATTGATCATGTGGGGCGGTTTGATTCGATAGTTTATTCAATAATAATACTAAGCATATAAATACAAACCGCCCCACATGATCAATATGGTTGTCCGAATTAGCCCGATAGGAAAATGTCGTAAGGTGATTTTCAAGGCAAAGACCCACATGATCAATATGTTTTTAATTATAGATAAAATTATTTCTTTTCGAATTAATGATATTTGTTATTAAAAATTTATGAAACGAGTATATAAATACTCCTATTTCATTTCTGATTTCAAAACTTAAAACAAAATAAGGTTTTAATACGCCCATTTATTGCTGAAATATGCAATTTTTTTTTAATCTTGAAACCACCGTGATTTTGCAAATTCATCATACATATAAACAAAGTTAAACTTTATAAGGCACGTGGATGCAAGTCACCTCCTTTAGTAAATATCTGCATCAATAGCGTAACACTTCTAAATATCCCGGAATTTATTTCCGTCTATATTTTATGTATAAAGACAACATTCTTTTTATTAAATTCTTTCACGAAATCTTTGTTGTTTAAATTATCGTTATTATGGTTATTTCGGATATTCCGTTCTTTGTTATCATTTATACGCATTAGAATGTTAAATTATCCGACATGAATGGTCATATGATTTTTCTTTGAAGCCTTGTCGCCAGATCACTTATCGTCTGTGTCAAACATCAATATTGGTCACACGATTCATAACAATAACTTTTTGATTGATGTTGCTCATGTGCTGCTACGTAACACTGATTAGAGTTGATAGTTGGATCCGGATTTATCGGAAAATCCGGAATTAATTATTGTGACAGATTAAAACTGTAAAATGAAATCAGATTATCGCTGTTTGCAAAATGATGTGCCCCCGGTCAATTTTGTAGATCGCTGCACCCCTGATTGTTCGATTGCAATCG